GTATGAAACTGTACTTCTTGATTAAAATCTGAATGTATTTGAAATCTTTTTAACATTTTTGCCATATCAGCAAATTAATATGAAGGACACTTCACCGCTTTTTAGTTAAAATCTACAAACTAATTTTAGATTAACCATATGATGTCTACAGACCAGAATCCCCAGGAAAAACCAGACTGATCCATGAGATAGTCATCAATTAAATTATATTAATGATGTCATCCTTTGTTCCCACAGACCTCCAACAGCCAAGTGTCTCCAATGAAGAAGAAGCTTCTGCCATCCTACAAGTCTGGAGCCTGGCAAGTAGGTCCAATCAGGACCAGAAAGAAGGAGAACATCAGTGGACTGAAGAGGAACAGATGGAACCAGAACAAATTAAAAAAGAAGAGGAGGAACCAGAACCTACACTGTTCAAACATGAGGAAGTAAAATATCCACAAATATACGTAAGAAAAGAGGAGCTAGATTCTTCAGTGCTTCAACATGAACAGCAGCCCCCAGACCATTTACCAACTGGACAGGACCAGAAGGACCTCTGCAGCAGTCAGGAGGGAGAGCAGCTTGTTCAGAAGCAGTTTGTTGCTTTGATTGAGACTTCTACTCTTCAGGAAGATGATATGAGTGAAGAAGAGACAAGAACAGAGCAGCTTTCCCTTCATGTCTCTCCAGTGGTTGAGAGCAAAGATCAGGAAGGAAGCAGCTGCTCTGTGTCAGAGAGTCAGTCTGATACTGGCACAAAGAAAAGACCTTTCAAATGTGACATTTGTGGGAGACGTTACACACATCAGTGTAACTTGAAAATCCATCACAGAACTCACACTGGTGAGAAACCTTATTCATGTGAAACATGCGGAAAAAGTTTCTCTTTAATTAATGTTTTAAATCGGCACAAGAAAATTCATACAGGTGAGAAACCTTTTTCATGCCAGTCATGCGGAAAAAGTTTCTATCGAATTAGTAATTTAAATGAACACAAGAAAATTCATACAGGGGAGAAACCTTTTTCATGCATGTCATGTGGAAAAAGTTTCTCTCGAATTAGTCAGTTAAATTACCACCAGAAAATTCATACAGGTGAGAAGAATTTCCACAAGAAACAATAAATCAATCAGCAGTAAATAAAAATG